AAATTATGGAGAGAACACTTAAGATGGTCGATGGACACTTTCAGGCTGCCCTGCCTTGGCGACATGATCCACCCTTCTTACCTAACAACAGGATAGTAGCAGAAAGAAGAGGATTCCTTCTAAAGAAACGACTTCTGAAAAGATGAAGCTTTGTTTGAGAAGTACAAGACAACAATGACTGATTACATTGAAAACGGCCACGCCGGAAAGGTCCCCAAAGAAGAGTTGGAAGTAAAGGACAGACCATTGTGGTACCTACTCCATCATCCTGTTACACATCCTTTAAAGCCCGACAAAGTGAGAGTGGCTTGTGATTGTGCAGCAAAGTTCGGACAGACATCTTTAAATCATCAGGTACTGCAGGGCCCGGATCAAACGAATCAACTTGTGGGTGTCTTAAGTCGGTTTGGACAAGAAACTGTTGGATTAGAAGCAATGTTTCATCAGGTTTTGGTGGACCCAAAGGATTGTGACACTCTAAGATTTTTATGGTGGCCAAATGGAAACCTGACAAAAGAGATGGAAAAGTATCGAGTGGTGAAACATTTGTTTGGAGCAACGTCTTCACTTAGTGTTGCTAATTTCTGCCTGAGGAAGACAGCCCAGTTGTATCAGGAGCATTTCGATGCAGAAGTGGTGGAGACAGTGAAGCGCAACATATATGTAGATGACATGATGAAGTCGACAGGCACCACAGAGAAGGCTGTCGGTTTAGCCAGTCAGTTGCGCAAATTGCTAGAGAAAGGTGGATTCCGTTTGACAAAGTGGTACAGTAATGACAGAGAGTTGCTCGCGACCATTCCAGGTCTGAAAGAGCCAAATCAGTGGTTAATTTAGAGCTCGAAAAACTTCCTACAGAGAGTGCACTTGGCCTCAAGTGGAACACAGAGGAGGACAAGTTTGTGTGGGAGGTCTTGGAGAGGATACTGCATTCAGTAAACCAGAAACCAATGACACGCAGAGGTATAGTGTCAGCTGTTTATTCCCTCTTTGATCCGTTGGGATTCATCGCTCCATATGTCATGAAGGCAAAGTTGCTCTTGCAGACACTCAGTAGAAAGAGGTTAGGCTGGGATGATCCTCTGGATGAAGCAGACAAAGGACAGTGGAAGCGCTGGCTAGACGATCTGCCAAAACTGCAAGAAATACAAGTAGACCGTTGTTTCAAGCCAAAGGAATTCGGTGAAGTTAAAGAAGTACAGTTACACCTCTTCTCAGATGCTTCTCGTCAAGGATATGCAGTCGTTGCATACCTCCGTTTAAAAGATGTGACCGACGGAACTCACTGTGCATTTGTGATGGGGAAGGCAAGATTGGCTCCTGTACGGGAAATTTCAATTCCAAGATTGGAACTTACAGCCGCTGTTATCTCGGTAAAGCTCTTCAAGATTATTCGAGAAGAACTTGACATGACAATAGACCAAGTTTGCTACTGGACTGACTCGACATCCGTGCTGAAGTGCATCAACAACGAATCAAGGCGATTCCATACGTTAGAGTCTAATCGTCTGACAGTGATACACAATGGCTCTAAACCCTCTGAGTGGGAGTACGTAAACCGAGATGACAACCCTGCTGATGACGGTTGAAAGGGACTGAAGAGAGATGCCATGTTCAAGAATGATCGTTGGTTAAAAGGTCCCAAGTTCTTGTGGGAAAATGAGAGCCACTGGCCCAAAATGATTGAAATTCCAGTCTTAGACAATGGAGATCCAGAAGTAAGAAAGGAAGCTCAGATTTATGTTTCCGTTCTCCAAAGTAATGTTGTGGATGACTTGATTTCGTACTACTCCTGTTGGTGGAAGTTGAAATGCGCCATCGCATGGTTCCTGCGCTAAAAACAGTACCTTCGAGTTAAAATCCAATTGAGAAAGAACGCTGCAATCGTAAGTGATTCTCCAGTCGAGTCCAGTGAAATGCCATTGATGAAATGCGGCCATTTGACAGTGGCAGAGCTCCAAGTGGCTGAAATGGAAATTCTCAGACGCGTTCAGGAAGTAGCATTTCCAGAGGTCTAAAAAGAACTTTCAGCAACAGAATGTTGTGAAGACAACGGTCAACCAAAGAAGATTCATCGGAAGGCAGGAGCGTCAATACGTCAGCTGAATCTGCAGCTAAAGGAGGGCCTGTTGAGAGTCGGAGGTCGACCAGCCAATGTCCCTGTTGGTTACGTGAAGAAACACCCTGTTATCATCCCTTACAAACATCAGGTGACAGATCTCATTATCAAGCAGTGCCATGAAAGCTTGGGCCATATGGTGCTATATTTTGGCCTAGAAGCTGGAATTCGAGCATTCAAATATTTTATCTGTGTCCATTTAACTGAAAACCAAGGCCATCACGAGTTAGTTTAGTGTCCCTGGGGCTGTAAAATATCCGTCAAGTCCCGGCAAATCGAACTAAAAATGGTCAAAATCACGATGCGCGTAAGGCGGCCTTGGCTACCTTGTCAGTATTAAAACGAAGTGGGGCTATATTTCGGCCTAGAGGCTCGAAACCGAGCCTGCGATCGTTTTACCGGTGTCCATTTCTCTGCAAACCAAGGCCATCGGGAGTTAGTTTAGAGTCCCTAGGATTGGAAAATGTCCCCCAAGTTGCGGGAAATCGAGTCAAAGTTAGTCAAAATCACGATGCGCGTAAGGCGGTCTAGGCTACTCTTTCAGTCTTAAAATAAAGTGAGCCTATATTTCGGCCTACAAGTTCAAAACCGAGCGTTCAAATATTTTTCCTCTGTCCATTTCAGTGAAAACCAAGGCCATCAGGAGTTAGTTTAGAGTCCCTTGCACTAAAAAATATTCCCCAAGTTCCGGGATATCGAGGTATAATTGGTCAAAATTACGAATCGCGTAAGGCGGCCCCGGCTACTCTTTCAGCCTTAAAATGAAGTGGGGCTATATTTTGGCCTAGAAGCTCGAAACCGAGCCTTCAGATATTTTTCCTTTCTCCCTTTTACTGAAAACCAAGGCCATCAGGGGTTAGTTTAGCGTCGTACTCTAAACTAACTCCTGATAGCCTTGGTATTCAGTGAAATGGAGAGAGGAAAAATATTTGAAGGCTCGGTTTCAAGCTTCTAGGCCAAAATGTAGTCTTACTTCAGTTTAGACTGAAAGTGTAGCCGAGACCGCCCTACGCGCATCGTGATTTTGACCAACTTTCGCTCGGTTTCCCGGAACTTGGGGGATATTTTTTCAGTTTCGGGGACTCAAAATCAACTGCTGACGATCTTGGTTTGCAGAGAAATGGACACAGGTAAAACGACCGCACGCTCGGTTTCGACCTTTTAGGCCGAAATATAGCCCCTTTTTATTTTAAGACTGAAAGAGTAGACGACACCGCTTTTCGCGCATCGTGATTTTGAGCAACTTTGGCTCAATTTTCCCAGAACTTTGGGGATATTTTCCAGTGCCGGGGACTTTAAAGTAACTACTGATGGCCTTGGTTTGGAGAGAAATGGACAGAGGAAAAGTATTTGAACGCTCGGTTTCGCGCTTCTAGGCTTAAATATAGCCCCACTTCATTTTAAGACAGAAACAGTAGCGGAGCCCGGATTACGCGCATCGAAATTTTGACCAGCTTTGGCTCGATTTCCCGGAAATTGGGGGATATTTTCCAGTGCCGGAGACCGTAAACTAACGCTTGATGGCCTTGGTTTTCAGTAAAATGGACAGAGCAAAAATATTTTGAACGCTCGGTTTCGAGCTTCTGGGCCGAAATATAGCCCCACTTTATTTTATGACTGAAAGAGTAGCCGAGACCGCCTTACGCGCATCGTGGTTTTGACCCACTTTGTCTCGATTTTAAGGAACTTGGGGTATATTTTTCAGTCGTCATGACGCTAGTTCCTGAAGGCCATGGTTTGCAGAGAAATGGACACAGGCAAAACGATCGCACGCTCGCTTTGAATTTAATTTCTAGCCCCAAACTAGCCCCACTTCATTTCAAGACTGAAAAAAATGTTGCCGAGACCGAATTAGGCGCAGCGTAATTTCGACCAACTTTGGCTATATTACCCGCAACTTGGGGGATATTTTCCAGTCCCGGGGACTCTAAACTAACTCCTGATTGCCTTGGTTTTCAGTTTAATGTACAGAGTAAAAATACTTAAACGCTCGCTTTCGAGCTTTTAGGCCGAAATTTAGCCCCACGTTAGTTTAGGACTGAAAAGACGTAGCCGTGACCGTCTTACGCGCATCGTGATTTTAACCAACTTTTGCTCGATCTCCTGCAACTTGGGGGATATTTTCCAATCCCGTGGAATCTAAACTAACTCCTGATTGCCTTGGTTTTCAGTGAAATGGACAGAGGAAAAATATTTGAACGCTCGGTTTCTCGCTTCTTGGCCGAAATATAACCCCACATCATTTTAAGACTAAAAGAGAAGCCGCGGACGGCTTACGCGCATCGAGACTTTGACCAACTTTCGCTCGATTTCCTGCAACTTGGGTGATATTTTCCAGTCCCGGGGACACTAAACTAACTCCTGATTGTCTTGGTTTCCAGAGAAATGGAGAGAAGAAAAATATTTAAACACTTGGTTTGGCGCTTCTAGGCTGAAATATAGCCCCATTTCATTTTAAGACTAAAAGAGTACCTGAGACCGGCTTACGCGTATCGACATTTTTGCCAACTTTGGCTCGATTTCCTGCAACTTGGGGGATATTTTCCAGTCCCGAGGACTTTAAACTAACTCTTGATGGCCTTAGTTTGCAGAGAAATAGACACAGGCAAAACTATCGCATGCTCGCTTTGGAGCTACTTTCTAGCCCCAAAATAGCCCAACTTCATTTTAAGACTAAAAAAGGGTAGCCTAGACCGGCTTAGGCGCATCGTGATTTTGACCAACTGTGGGTCGATTTCCCGCAACTTGGGGGATATTTTCCAGTCCCGAGGACTTTAAACTAACTCTTGATGGCCTTAGTTTGCAGAGAAATAGCCACAGGCAAAACTATCACACGCTCGCTTTGGAGCTACTTTCTAGCCCCAAAATAGCCCCACTTCATTTTAAGACTAAAAAAAGGTAGCCGAGACCGGCTTAGGCGCATTGTGATTTTGACCAACTGTGTGTCTATTTCCCGCAACTTGGGGGGATATTTTCCAGTCCTGGGGACTCTACCGTATGTCCTGATGGCCTTGGTTTGCAGAGAAATAGACAGGGGAAAAATATTTGGACAATTGGTTTTGGTCTCTAGGCCGAAATATGCCTCCACTTTATTTTAAGACTAAAAGAGTAGCCGAGACCGGCTGACGCGCATCGAATTTTCACCAACTTTGGCTCGATTTCCAGGAACTTGGGGGATATTTTCCAGTCCCGGGGACTCTAAACTCCTGATGCCCTTAGTTTGCAGAGAAATAGACACAGGTAAAACGATCGCACACTTCCTTTGGAGCTAATTTCTAGCCCCAAAATAGCCCCACTTCATTTTCAGATTAAAAAGGTAGCCTAGACCGGCTTAGGGGCATCGTGATTTTTACCAACTGTGGGTCGATTTCCCGTAACTTGGGGGGTATTTTCCAGTCCCGGGGACTCTACAGTAAGTCCTGATGGCCTTGCTTTGTAGAGAAATGGACAGAGGAAAAACATTCGAACGACTGGTTTCGAGCTTCTAGGCCGAAATACTCCCCCACTTCATTTTAAGACTGAAAAAAGGTACCCGAGACCGGCTTCAGCGCATCGTGATTTTGACCAACTTACTCTCCATTTCCCGCAACTTGCGGGATATTTTCCAGTCCCGGGGACACTAAACCAACTCCTGATCGTCTTGGTTTGCGGAGAGTTGGACAGAGGAAAAATATTTGAACGCTCGGTTTCGCCCTTCCAGGCTGAAATATAGCCCCACTTCATTTTAAGACTGAAAGAGTAGCCGAGACGGGCCTACGCGCATCGAAATTTTGACTAACTTTAGCTCGATTTCCCGCAAATTGGGGGATATTTTCCAATCCCGGGGACTCTGAACTAGCTCCTCTTTCCCTTGGTTTAAAGAGAAATGGACACGGGTAAAACAATCGAACGCTCGCTTTGGAGCTAATTTCTAGCCCTAAAATAGCCTAACTTTATTTTAAACATGAAAAAAGGTAGCCAAGACCGGCTTACGCGCAACCTGATTTCGACCAACTTTCGCTCGATTTCCCGCAACTTGGGGGATATTTTGCAGTGTCGGGGACTCTCAACTAACTCCTGACGGCTTTGGTTTTCAGTGAAATGAACGGAGAAAAAATATTTGAACGCTCTGTTTCGAGCTTCTAGGCTGAAATACAGCTCCACTTCATTTGAAGACTAAAAGAGAAGCCGCGGACGGCTTACGTGCATCGCGATTTTGACCAACTTTGTCTCGAGTTCCCGGAACTTGGGTATATTTTACAGTGCTGGGGACTTTAAAATAACTCGTAAAGGCCTTCGTTTTCAGTGAAATGGACAGAGGAAACATATTTGAACGCTCGCTTTCGAGCTTCTAAGCAGAGATATAGCCCCACTTCACTTTTACACTGAAAGAGTAGCAGAGACTGCCCTACGCGCCTCGTAATTTTGACCAACTTTGGCTCGATTTCCCGGAACTTCGGGGATATTTTCCAGTGCCAGGGACTCTAAACT